AATGAAAACCAAAGGAAACTCAGGTAATATATATTTTAGAAAGTTTAACTAATTACAGTAGTGATTGGTGAAAGTTCATAAAGCAAGGATACTTCCCATATTAATAAAAGCATTGTCTTACTATCTGCCATATAAGCTGGTTTTAGGATTTTTTTTTTCTCCTATCCATGATTCAGAGTAAAATTGCTCATGCTCTTATGTTTTTTTTTTTTGTGTTATGCAGTCACCAGGCATCTCTCATAGCAAAGGAGAGTTTGCAAATGAAATGGACCATTAATATCTTCCTTGGTGAATTTACCTGCATTTCTAAAGGACTTTTATAGACAAAAAGTATGTTAAAAATAAATAGTTCCATAATTTAACCTTTTTACAAAGGTATGGTAAAAATCACAAAAAACCCTTCACTGCTGTGATGTTTCAGATGAATGAATTCTAGTATTGTAATTTAGATGGGACTATGCTTCTGAAATGAGTCTGCTGATCATCTCCATTTGTCATGCTTGTATTCACACTACAGAGCAGTCTTGGAGTATGTGAACTGTGTGTTCCAGGGGCACAGCTAGCAGAGCTCAGCCACTGTTGGGGGTTGCAGCCCATACTGGAGACAGCCTGATGGGAAAACACTGCAGTGGGGATCGTTTCAGCATGGGCTCCTCGAGAGGAAGGTGGTGCAGCTCTCTTCTCCCTGGTATCCAGTGATAGGATGCATGGGGATGGTTCAAAGCTGCAACAGGGGAAGTTTGAGCTTGACATTAGGAAACATTTCTCTACTGAGAGGACAATCAGATGCTGAAACAGGCTTCCTAGAGAGGTGGTTGATGCCCCAAGCCTGCCAGTGTTTAAGAGGTATTTGGAAAATGCCCTTAATAACATGCTTTAACTTTTGGTCAGTAATCAGGCATTTGAACTATGCGATCATTATCCCTCCCAAATGAAAAAAAAAATATCTTTTTCTATTCTAACACCAACTCTTGCTCTGCCAGACTGCTCCTATTGAGTTATAGTGCTTGATGTTGGAGATATTGTCTTTGACCACTAAAATTAGTTCTTACACCTAAAGAAATAGATTGCTCAAATATTTAATGGCAGGGTTTTATTTCTTTCAATCAGAACCAAGAAATAAAACCCAAATACCTCACTAGTCTGCACAATGAACAAAGCAGATATATTGAACTCTTCATTCCACAGGGAGCTGACACTAAGGACTGATCCTCCAGGTTACAGAGAAGCATCCCACTGTCCTTGTGAATGTGCAGCCTGCCTTTAAGCATAATAATTGGAACCAAATAATTTACTTCCTTCCAGCAAAATCCATTTAGGATATTGCTCATTGTATCTAATATCAGTATCATTCATAAGATTGGATGACTTTGACACATTGATTTCTTGAACAAAATGTACGTAAGCATATAATATGAATCTCTCTATATTACTGCTAAATGGTCCATATTAAAGTGCTATAGAGTGGTGTTTTTCTTGATTGCATAAATTAGGATGTTTGAGATCAACTAATTTTAAAATTTGAATTGCCAGCAAGTTTGCAGATATTTTTTCTTCCCTTGTTCTCACCTATGAGTATCAAATAATGGGCTCAGACCCATTTCATCTTTCTGCAATACATGATCATATCCTAACTGATACTCCCTGAAGTGTCTGGAGTACAAATCTCATTTTATGTGTATTAAAAACAGTAGGGAATCTCAAATCATCTCACTAAATAGCTTTTTTTCTGGAACATCTTATTAAGAAAGTGAAAACTAATATAATTGCCATTTTGCTGTTCCAAAATCGTTAAATTTGGCAGTCGCTGAATTCCAAGCACATATTGTTTCTACACAAAGGACATTTGAAGGTGAAATGAGAATAAACTGCATTTTATTAAAATTTGTATTAAATTAGCTAGAATGTGTGTCTCAGGAAGTGGTGTAACGCTTTGCACATAATACTCAAGATCTGATGGGAGAAAAGGATTTGATTAATTAGACTGAAATGTTTTCAACCATTAAATAAATCTAAAGTTTGATGATGTACAGTTCAAGAAAAACTGCAGTGTACACTTACCAGTTTTCAGATTAATTTCAGATAGAGCCAGAGTTCTCCTGTAAACAAATCAATGCATTACATTATTATTCACAAATCTGTTCTGTACCTGCTTTTCATTTTGTGTCAAGTGATCTGATAGGAAGCAGCATTAGGCATACCCTTGGGCCAGCTACCTTATCTCTGTGTGCTTATGTTTATCTTCTGTGTTAAGTTTTGACAAGGTTTTTCTGTGCTTCTTAAGTGTTGTGGGCTCCAGAGAGGAATACCAGTGGTAGCTGTGCACAGCCCTGCTGTTGTGCAGACTATAGTCTCAGTGCAGTCCTTGAGTAAGACGGGTGTTTTTAAAGAAATATCATTCCATTGCTTTAATGCTTGTGAGAGTTGTCAGTTTTACAAATGGTATTTTTGAAAGAAAAGAATCACATTACTATCCTTGGGGTGGAGGAGAGTCTTGTAAGTGCAAGCCAGCAAAAATATTCACTATTCCCTGAATATCAAGGTCTTGATTCTGCATTTGTTCTGGTTACACAAGGACTTGACGTTAACTTAAATGTTTGTTTTAAAATTATAGGCGTATGAAGTATGTAAGCGAGTATTTACTGGGACATCTTCAGCTGTAAAATAACAGTTGCTTTTGACAGTTATGTCTTCAGTGTCTCTTCTCATAATCTGAAAAATTTATGCTGGTTTATTATCTTGTTCTGCTTCTCTTTTCTTCTGTTGCTATCATAAACTGAAACTGCCTGAACTGGAAGGCAAAGCCAGTAAAGTTTGTGTGTGTAGAATTTACAGCCAAACAATCAGAATTTGTAAAGGCTGGACAACATGAAAATAAATCTGTAAATTAGAATAGGGATATACTGAAAAATAATTTAATAATTCATTTTGATGTTCCTGTGAGAGAACAGTGGTGTCGTTTAAGGGATCACTTTAGGGGTGGGAGAGGAAGATCTGGGTTTTGTTCAGCTTTGCTGCCAAATACAATTCACACTCTTATTTCAACACAAAATTCCTTCAAAAATTAAAATTAAAATAAACTTGATAATTACTTGAAAAATGGAAATTACTTTAATTGACAGTTCTGCATGGAAGCACATATCACACAGTGCCTGATATTGTTAATATTAGTGGTTTGTATATTGACAATGAAATTCACAAACAAGAATAATTCCCTTCCCTTCTCCCTGCCAGGCAAATCACTTGTAGAGTACTGAATGTAATAGAGGACACTACCTTTAATTTGACTTGAAATTAATTTTACATTCCTGTATAAAAAGTGTCTGCATGAGTGAAGGTATCTACAGAGTGTGTAAAGAGATACTATTGGTATGGTACAGACAGATAGCTACTGTATGCACACTTATACACACATATGCTCACACAAATGATTGAGTTTGTATAAAATTACTCTATGATTTTAAACATCATTAAATGATGTTAATAAGCTCTAAGATGCTCACCAGTTCCCAAGAAACACACTGTGCCTTGGAGACTGATGTTCACTCTGAATTGGTCAACAAACAAGAAACCACCTGTACCAGGATAATGACAGCATGAAATGCTACAATCCTTTGGAAGTCCTTCAGCCACTTGACTGGACTTTGCATTAAGTTTATCTTTTGGCAAGTATTTGTTTCTGGTATTCCATTATATACCTGTCAATCTAGGGCATCAGGAATGGTAGACATCAGTGACTTGTTAGGAAATCTCTTTCTAACATCTGTTCTTGCATCTATGCTTTAAGAGGAAGAAAACACAGGTCAGCTTGTAGGATTAAAAAATATGTGGGTGAAAAGGATTCTTCTGTATCATGGAGTATTTATTGTGCTTCTTACCATTTTATGTCTGAAAGAAATAACGTAATTTGCCAAGAGAGTCATAGTTTTGGTGTTGTTTCATGTTTCTTGTGTGGTAGCACATGAAAAATTCATAAAGCTTGCAAGAAAAATATTAGGGGTCAGTAGTGCAGGTTACAGTATATATATATAGGTATATGATGTACAGTGCATTTAAAAATCTACCAGTTTAGTTCTCTGTGAGCACTTTACTCTCAATTTTACAAGGTCAGATAAAACAGTACGTGTCTGAAAAATAAGGAATGTTCTTTAACAGTATTGCTTTTACAAGCAGCAATCTTTTGCCAAAGTTTTTAAGAATATATCTTAAATATATTTTTGTTTGAATGAACTGAGTAGTGGAAGCATCTCAGTAAACGGGTTGTATTCTACTCCCTACTGAATTGCTGCAGATTTATTCTGAAAGTAGATTTAAGTATTGAAGGATACACTGAAATTGCTAAATTTTCATTTCAGAACTATGAAATCTGAAAGCCTGTGAAAAAATGCACTAAAATGAAGTATGAAATAAATACTCTGCAAACATATGCAACTTGGAAAGATTTTTACATTCATCTGAATGTGTTTGGCAAGACTTGTTTCTGGCATTTTTTGTTTGTTTGTTTCAAACTACTAATGTTGTTGTTGAAATAGTAATTCTTTTGGTTTTATTATACTTTATACATGAATTTTGTTTCTCAGTTTGCTTTTCTTTTCCCCCATTTAAGATACCAGAGGCTTATTTTATTAGAGATCCTCATACTTTCCTCCTTACAAAGGACTTTATTAAGGTATATATGTTCTTTATGGTGCAAAAAAAAAAAAAAGCTCTCTGAAGACCAAAAGTGCATGTCCTCACAGGTTAACATTTTCACATATAACGCCAGTTACTGGAAATGAGAATGGATAGTTGGTTAACTGAAGCATGCTTGAACGGAGAAGCAAAGCTTGTCTACAAAATACTAACACTTGGATGAGTCTGCAGCCTGGGAGGAGAGCACCGGGTGAATTTTCTGGACTTTTTTCATGGCTGACTTGGGATATGCCTGCATTGTCACACACTGTGTTGACCTCTCTCCTTGATGCATATTGCTCATGACAGTCCCTCTCCCTTGCCCGCAGGCCATGGAGGCGCAGATACAGAACTTTGGACAGACGCCATCGCAGTTGCTCATTGAGCCCCATCCACCTCGGAGCTCTGCCATGCACCTGGTGAGACATAGCTGCTGGATGGGAATGCATTCCCTTTGAACCTGAGGATCCTTTGTAGGTCATCAAGTACCCATTAAGCAACACTTTTAATGCCCTCCATTGCCCGTGCAGCCGTACTTTCCCCCTGGCAGCAAAGGCTCACAGTGCTCTAAGGTGGAGGATTGAATAGCTTCAGCTTCCTACAGCCCTGGCTTTTCCTATGTAATACTGTATAATAAGGCCCTATCTTCATAAATAAACACTTGATAAATATATATTTACAATCTTATTTCTGCAAGTAGTAGAAGTGACTGCAGGCTTTTCTTAGAGTGAGCATGTTGCTTTATTTTAGAGGATGCATTGTTAGAGGCTGATTTATGAACAATGCCTGCTTGACAAAAATGAGGTAGTGGAGCTCAAATAGTGTTGGAATCCTCCTGCCTGTTCCTCTGGGAGAATACAATGTATATTTTGAATTTCAGTTTCAACTCCAAAATTCATTCTTAATGCAATGTCTTCTCTGTGCTTCTTGCAAAGAATTATATGAAATAGCCAGGCTGAATGAGACAGATCTCTGTGCCCCTCTCTGACTTGGATTAAATGCATAAAGATAGATATTTTCTTTTAAGTTTTGTAAATTGACAGTAATACGTGCAGTGGTTTCAATCATTTTATCTATCTACAAGGAAATCACTCTATCTAGTTGTACAATGTGAAAGTGGGAATTGATCTGGAAGTGTTAGCTGTGTTATTTTAAGTAATTCTTAGATGTCAAATGTACATAGTATTTATTTTATATTCTTGAGATATGGGTAATATATTTTAATAATAATTTAGAGCATTAAGTAGAAAGGATTATTTGAACTGCTAGAAATAATTCTATTTGTTATAGCAGTAGCTGAAAAAATAGCATTAAACCCAGTACTTAATAATAGTATTATTGTCCATGTAAAAGAAAGCTATGTCACCTGTAGAATCATCAAACAATTTTATAATTACTTACAGACTCCACAGTAGGTATATGCTTTACATAGAATTAAATTGTCTGTATTTGGAAGTACTGTATTTCATATAAAGAATTCATTAAGAAAAATTAAATAGCTGCAGGTTTTTGAATCCCTCTTGAAATTTATTTTTTCAGCCTTTGTAGTTTATAACATTTATATTTATGATGTATTAACTGATTAACTATTATTTGACTCATATCTCTATTGCATGAATAATAACTGCTGTATAATTTTAATTCTTTTGTATATTAATTAATGCTAATGGTAATTTTGCACCCTGTAACGATAACCCTTACCATACCTATTCTCTACTTGTCCTCATGTAATGATCCAATAATAGCTTCTGATCTTGCTCTCCTCCATCACTAGTGTAGATGTGAAGGTAGAGTTGTTTTCCCTGTATGTGCACATGCTTGCCTGCTCTTTTTTAACCTCGTTTTCCCTCGGACCTCCTCACTAATTGTGTTATCCCTTCTGTTTTCTTCTGCTCTCTTCTCCTTTCTACTCAACAGTGTTTCCTTCCACAGAGCCCCCTCATGTTTAAAGATCAGATGCAGCAGGATGTCATCATGGTGCTGAAGTTCCCATCCAATTCCCCCGTCACACACGTGGCAGCCAACACGCTGCCCCACCTGACCATCCCTGCCGTGGTGACTGTCACTTGCAGCAGGTTGTTTGCAGTCAATCGGTGGCACAACACAGTAGGTAGGTTCTCAAGGGCATGTTTCATTCAAACTGGAAGACCTGAACAGTGCAGCTTTATTTCACATGCAGTTTAGCTAGATGTGGGTTAATCTCACTCATCTGCCTGTGCAGAAAAAGTTACTTTTTTTTTTTTTTTTCTGGTTTGTGTCAAATAATCAAAGCTTGTGTTTTCTCTGGTGCCATTCCTAGAAACAATCTCCCTAACAGCAGCACGTCACCATGGCAGCCAATCGATTTGTGGTTACATCAGGTTCAGCCTTTGATATAATGCTTTTCAGGAGAGTGCTGCTGTTCTTGACACAGCCAATATTAATATGTCCCAGGTTTCAGGAATACATGCTGGCATGCTAGACAGCAGACATCACTGTCTGCTGCTTGAGAGAGATTTCACGTCCATCCAGGATCTTATCATAAGCCTTCCCGTGGGCCATCGTTAGATAATGTGGGACCCTAAGTAAGCCTAAGCAACTGAACACCAAATGACTCTGGAGAGAGGTTTCCTCTTTGCCTTCCAAAAGCCCACGCAGCAAGGTCATCCCAAGGGTCATTTCCCTTACAACCCTTCTGCTCACCTCTCTGTGTTGCTGCTAGGACTGTCCTTTCATCTCACCTGGAGATGCAGGTGCTGAGGTTGTCCCAGGAATTGCCAAGTAGATGGTGAGGCCGTGGGGTACATAAGGGAATGGACAGGTTTCATTTTTTAACGTAGTTTCCTTCTGTGGTAGCCTTTATGCTACTGTATCTGGAAACTTTTGAAGGTTTCTTACCACCTGGGACAAACAATAAAGTACCTGGTATTTGAGAGTGTGACTCAGTAGCTGGCTCAGGTACTTTGTAGGGACAGGCAAAAAAAGAAAACTCCTCCACTCTTTATACACAAGAGAAACCCCTGGAGAGAAGTAGGTCTTCCTGGAGAGGAATTTGTGATATTTAGGTTAGATGTCTACCTCCAGTAGACATAAAGGGATACTAGATTAGGGAATTCACTGGTTTAAATGTAAACATCTCAGTGAATAATTCGAGTCAGTTGAAATAGATGCCACCTCTTCTGCACAAGGCTGGCCAAAGACTGCTTTTACAAGCAATAATTAGAGGAATGAATGAGAATTCCCTTATACATGCATTAGAGGAACTCTCGGAGCAAGTAAAATTAATATCACTCTGATTTTGTGAATAGTAATATAAGCTTTAGTATTACTTTTATTCTGAACATTTTAATATGTATTAGGAATGTACCTCTTTTCTGTTTACTAACTAACTTTGTGTTTTGGTTTAGAGAATGCCACCAAAACAGAACAGGATATCTGATTGCCTTTCACAAATCCATGCATTTGTAATACTCTGTCAGGTGCAGTTGCATTGGGTGTAAGAATGTTTTGCATTTCTTTAAAATGAAAGTGGAAAATTTTGAAAGAAGAAAATACAAAGAAAATATTTTTAAAAAATATTTTAAAAAATACTTTGTGACAGCATCCTCACTGGTAAAGTCCCATTTCAGAAATGATTCAGAGGTAGAGAAACTGTCATCTGGTATTTTAGTAGTTTTTTGAGTAGCATTCGCTAACTAATTCCTCATTAGTTCCCCTGGATTCTTCAGGGATGATGCCCAAGTGCTCTGTACCCATCATCATTCAACATCCTACATTGGAAGAGTTTTATTGACTACTCAAGTACCCATTTCTCATCCAGACCTCGTGTCAAGTGAAGGGAAGCCAAAATTCATACCCATACTTTACTGTGAAGGAATCAAGGTCACTAATATTGCAGTATCCTGAACTTCAAGGGATTCCTTAACAACTGTTATTTGAAGTCATCTAGTTTTGTAGAAGTCCTGTTTGCCTTTATGATGTGTGTGGCTGTTTCAGTTTTTCATACATACTCTTGTAAATCATAAGTCATGTTGTAAACATCCAGAAGTCACATATAACAACAAGAGACAGGAAAACAAAACTGGTTGTAGAGTCAAAAATAATTCTAATGCTTTTCTTGACTTTTACATCCTGCCTGGCAATGTCTTTTATTTTGCAAGGGCTAATCAAGGACAGAGTATAAGCTTCCTGCTACTACTATAATATTAATAAATCACAACTCTAGTATAAAGGATAGGTTCATATGCAGAAATGTACACACCCACCAGGTTTACTCTTGTGGGATGTAAGTAGAGCTTTAGAGTTTATAAACAGTAGAAAGCATTTACATAACCATCTCACAACAGAAGTAAATGCATTTAAGTTAATACCAGTAAAGATGTGTCCCAAACTGACATTTTGAAATAAAAGAGAAAGGAGGAAAGGAGAAGTTCTCAGATTAAATGGTTTTCAGAAGATGGCAGGGCCAGCTGTAGACCTGTTTTATTTTACCTCCTCCAGCTGTCTGTTGCAGTAGTAGAAAATGGAGTTTATTCTCCAGAACTCTGTATCTCTTCTTATGGAGGATATTCTTGTCCAACAAAGCAGTTCCTGATACAAATCGTGTTTTCAGTAATGACTATTGTGACTTATGTGCTAGGGAAGATGCTCAGAAGAGCCAAAACAATGCTATCTGTGCATGAGAACAGATAATAAATGTGCAGTCACTGGTGCACATTTGAACAGCTTAAGGACTGCTCAGGATAGAACTAACAGGAATAGCTGTGGCAAATTTGCTGTAGCCCACAATTTCCCAGTTAGAAATTCTAGATAAATCCATTAAAAGTTCCAAGTTTCTGTCACTTACAGGTTTCCATATGTAAGAAACTCATAACAATATTTAATCCAATTATTTTTCTTTTCTATGCTATAATATCTCAATCAGTGCTCAAATGTAAAAAGAAATCTGTTACACTAATTTAAAGGAGTTATTGAAGGAATGTTTGTGGCTACAGAAGTCGTGATGACATTAGAGCTCATCCAATGAGTTATAGCTATTGTTGCATAACTAAAGAATTAACAAATACATAGTTCTGTAGCACAGGGAAAGGAATCTTAAAAGATTCCTAGAAACAGTAATATTAAGAAGTTACATTATATATCTATATCTAATAAACCAATAATGCAGTTTTGAACCTAGAAAAAATAATATAAAAAAATTAGACAAGAGGGTTCCTATGTGCTCTGTTCTTCCTTTCATGTGTAGGTCTTCGGGGAGCTCCAGGATATTCTTTGGATCAAGCTCATCATCTTCCAATTGAAATGGATCCATTGATTGGTATGTCAAGATGAAAATGTAGGGATATATTTGAAAACAGCGTTTCCAAGAATTATTGATTAAGCTATATTTGTATATTATGCTTCATTTAACATGGAGGATAGGAAAATATTTATTCTTGTCAGTCCTCAAGAACTAAAAGCATTAGATATTGATGCTGAATGAATTACATGAATGCTATTTGTTATTAACATCACCAGCAATTGGTATTTAAGAAACAACCAATTAAGTGAGTTACTTTGTCAGCCCATATCTATAATTCTGTTCTCTTATCAGGTCACATTAGTAAAATAAAATGTGAGAGCCTGGAGAGTTCATATATTTTCATTTCTTACCGCAATCACTGTGTATATCAGTGCAGACACAGATCCATTTCTTTTCATTCAGTTTATGATTTGGATTGTTTTAGTCAGCATTACTAAACTGATAAAGAATAGATTTTAAATTGATGCACGATTCTATTTTTAAATCAAAAAATATTTGAGGAAGTGAAATATTTTGAGAAATAGCATCTGCTAAAACTGTTAGAGAGATTGGAGGACTTGTATTCCTAATGTTCATTATTTCTCTTTCATTTCAAGAATTTATTTTGTGGTGGTTTGATTATTTTTTTCCAGTGGGCACGTTTTTGAGACAGAAATTGGGAATAGGGAAAGTACTTAGAGACACTTTTGCAGCACTGGTGAGAAAAAAATGCATTTTTAAACATCTCCAGATGAAAATTTCCTTTTTCTTCTGTGTCAATATTCATGGTTGAAAGATTTATATACACGTACCTCAGGAGACTTAGCTTTCTCATTCTGTATGCTTCATTTGCTCATATAATGACAATGGTTTTCTCTTCAGATTTTCCTCTCAGAATCTAGGGCACAACTATTGTGCCCACCTGTTCTGGAAATTTAACTAATTTGTTATTCATTATCTTTCAGTGGATGGACATAGACGGTCTGATAATTTAAATATGTGTTCTTGGAACATATATAAACATGATAGTACCTTTTACAAACAAATTTAAAATAGGGTCTAAAAAAGACCCTCTTACTTCATGCAGTTGTGAGCAATTTAAACAGAATAACCAGAAATAGGGACCAAAGAAATTTCAGACTATTATCTGGATTGTCATAGTCCTACACTAGGAGAAACATGTCTTTCAGAGTGAGTTTTATCTCATCAGACTTCAGTTAGCTGAAGCTGGTTGTCAAGATTCCCTCCATAGCTACTAAAGAAACCATCCTCTGGAGTTGTCTGGTACTTGGACAGCTGTTACAGCGTGAGGTGACTTGCTATGTGAAGCGATGTCTCTCTCTCTAGTGAGTCCAGGGGAAGTGTAGATAATTAATTTAGATTATATATGGAACTTTTAGAAACGCAGTATTAGCTGAGAGGGAACACACCTCTATTGTACTGCCAAACCCTGCCTGGTGTGTCCCAGAAACTAAAGAGCACATTAGCTGGTGACTCCCAGTCCTTCCTCACAGCTCCGTTTGACAGCCAGGGTGGTGGGATTCTGTATGGACCATTCCTTTTCCCTCTGTCTGGGGGGATTTCCAGGTGGCATTGCCTCTGCCCCTCGCATGGCTCCCTGCTTGGAGAGTAGTTGGTAAGAGTGTTGAAAAGGCACGTTAGATGTGAACAGCTTCACTGGCTGAATCCTTACGTCTTTGATCCGGTTACGTGTCTGCAAGTATGGGGGTGTCAGGGTCACACAACACAAGCTGTTTCCTGTGGGAGAGATACCAGCCAGCAAGAACTGACTTTCTGCAGTGTTGTTAGCTTTGACTTGGTATTTTAAATGGCCTTCCATCACTTTCCCCTAGTTCAATTTGGTTTTGGAGTACTTCAGCAGAGCACTTAAAATATTATCATGTATTATGCAGCGCATCAGATTGTTTATAAGAAATTGTCATCTCCTGTAAATCTTTTGTCTTATTCAAAGGGAAACCAGAAATCTCACAATAATTTTATATTTCTGACACTCATATAGACAGCTCTAAATGTTCATATTCAAAATGCTTACTCAACAACAAATTCACAGTTCATTGAAAGTTAAATATATTCATTTTCTCCTGTAAGTGGATGACAGGGAGGTGTTGGAATGGCTTACTTGTAAAATGTGTTTTGCATTTCGTTACAGCCAATAACTCTGGTGTGAACAAACGGCAGATCACAGACCTTGTGGATCAGAGCATACAGATCAATGCACACTGCTTCGTGGTCACAGCAGATAATCGCTACATTCTTATCTGTGGTTTCTGGGATAAGAGCTTTCGAGTTTATTCTACAGAAACAGGTGACCCTAAATACAACAACCTGTTTCTTCTTTGGTCACAAAGTAGACTGTTGTCAATGCTACCATATCTAATGCCTGTTCCTACCTGTTAATGCATGATAAAGTGCAGTTTATGAAGTCCTTCATTATTGTTTGGGCGTAAGAGCTTTAAGATGCTTCTCTTTGGAAGATAAAGGATGTAAAAGAAAACAGACATACAATTTTTTCGGTGGTAACTTTCGAAAACCACACTTATATTCAGGGAATTGATCATAACAAAAGGATCAGCCAAGATCTTTGTTACCAAACTTTCATAGCTGTATTGTTTCTATCTCTATTTCATGTAAGAAGGAGGTAGGTTGCATAGCCTGTCACCAGGAACCAATATTTTTTTGGTCTGATTGCTTAGCCTAATTCAACATTGTGAAAAACCGATTGCAGTAATAAAAAGAAGGGTGATAATCATAGTCCATGTTAGTTTGACATTAACATAGAACAAATACACAATTTGAATGTAATAATGTAGCACCATTATGGAAAAGTTCATGTGCCATCTTATGCATGTCATTCAGGACGTTCACAAGTAGTGTTCTAACACCATTGCTTAAATATTGATGGAACAGTAACTCCACTTAATATTCAGTGATTGCAGCACTGACTTGATTTTCAGATATAAGGGTTAGGCTGTGGATTGACACAGAGCACAGCCCTCACTAGGCACATAAAAAGAGAGAAAAAAAATGTTTTATCTTTCTGATTTTTTTTTAATTTTGTCATAGCACGTAGTGAACTCTAATTGAGGGACATGAGGCAAAAATTACATTTGACCTGAATATTTGTTAGTGATTTAGTTAACGATTTCTAATTGCTGCAAGTGCTCAGCCTGAACTTGTATCCCTTTGCACTCCCTCCAGGAAAATTGACTCAGATTGTGTTTGGCCACTGGGATGTCGTGACCTGCCTGGCCAGGTCGGAGTCCTATATCGGCGGCGACTGCTACATCGTCTCCGGCTCTCGTGACGCCACCTTGCTGCTCTGGTACTGGAGTGGCCGACATCACATTATCGGTGACAATCCAAACAGCAGTAAGTCTCCTGGAAAAAGACACTTTCCATGCATGTCCTCTGTCACACCTATTCATTTTTAGCATTCCTTCTGTCAGCTTCAGAATGTATTACCAAATATATCGATTACTTCACTTACAGGTTGAAAGTTGGAGTAAGAGGAGCTCCACATGCTAAGCAATTCCCAGAGGACTAGCACAAAAAATGTTTAAACAGTCTGTGCGTGGTAGCAGATAATAGTATGGGAGTAATTCTTAAATTCATAATTACCTTTATCTCTTACAGCATCATGTCATCATAAACCAGAACAAGATGGTTATGGCCTTTAAGTGACAGGACGTATATCAGTATATTTTGACTTTTCTTTCCCCAGAAATATTTTTTGGCATTTTAACTTACTCCTTTTGTGCTACAGCATGCCATGTCAGCTGCTTGCCTTTTCAAAAAAGGAATGTCTCACATGCCATGGAATTAAATGAGTCTCTTTAAGGTCTTTCTGTAGCAGGCAAACCTTTGGAGGAGCAATGTGACTGAGTAAAAATAGAAAAAGATAAAATGTCAGGAAGAGTTTACTTGTCATTTACAGAGGACTAACTATCAGTGCTTTGCAGAGCGAAGGGGACACAATACTACTAATAACAATAAATTATATAAGAAGACACTTATAGTACACTACTAATTTGTCCCTTCACCCAAGACACAAATGTGACCACAGCTAAAGACGAGAGCAACTTTTATCAATATACTAGAAATGCTTTGTACAAACTAAACCCATATAATTTTAAGGAATTTCAGAATTCTGATGATTGTTTTCAGCACAAGGATATTGCCTCTTTAGACAAACATGGAATAATCCATCACTATCAATTTTGATCTCTAGTTCAAGTACTGAGTGGAGACAGTCGTAGACCTGTCAGTTACAGATATCTAAGTGAAAGTATTTCTTCAACTACATGTCTATTTGTTACAAAGTAAACATTTTGTTAATTGCACAACAGCAGATTTTTTAAATTGTTTTAATTTTCTTCCATTTATCTGTAAGCAGAGCAAAGGGGAGACATAAAAACCTCACTTTCTCACCTGTCTTTCTTTTCCTTTTACAACAGAGAGAGAGTGGAGGGGTGGAAAAAGTAAAATTGTGTTCCCATAATAAATTTCTGTAATTTTTCTGTATACTCCAGGGCTTTTATAGCACTTGATTCTCAGACAGGGAGAACTCAGTCTGAAAAGGAATTTAATGTCATTTAATGTCTCTTTAGCTTGACATAATTTGCTTCTTTCAATGCTTTGGTGATTCATATCAATTATTAGTAATTTCTGTGTTAGGAGTCAGAAAAAAAATATGAGCTTGCTCCTTTCATTAAAGAAAAAATGTAAGACTTTTCCTTGCTTAATTTGATTCCTTTGATTATATGGGGCTTGGACCACCTTGGCACAAGTAACAGAACTCGGGAAGATTAAACACCCAAATCCACTGTGGTAGCTTCAAAATATATTGGTCAGGTTTCTCACTACTCATGTTGAAGACAGGTTGAAGCCTTGTAGAAGAGAGATGTCATCACTATTGTTGCTATCTCTACTCATTGGATTAAAGTTACCATGGATATGCTAATTATGTACTACTACTGTACTAATATCAGAACTTTATGTGCTGTAAACACGCCCTTATTAGCAGCTACTTTGACTTTTCGTGAATATACATAAGTGATCATACGCCTGCAGGACCCTCTGCCTTTTAAAACTTCACAATTACTAAATATTTTTGTTGAAATAAGAACTACAAGATTCTGTTCCCTACCGTGTGCATGGTAGCTATTGTGTGACTGATTCCCTATATAATAATTTTCAGGAATGAAGCATTTTCAACATTCCTTATGAAAACGTTTTAAATTTTACACAGTTGAAGCCATCAAAGTAGGAAAGAAATACTTCCTAATCTCTCTTTTTCTATACTTACCAGTGGAAGATTAGGATTTACCTTATAGGAAAAATGAAAGTGAGATGTTCACTGTAGGTCAAATCCAATTAGTCAACACCTTTAGAATGAATTTCCAGAAAGATGTAGATGATATTTTCAGGAGTAAAAAATGGGGAATTATTTTTTTAGATGCTGTCATCTGTAGACACAGATAAGGTATATTATACCACAGACTGTAAGAAGGTAAGGAATTCAAAGAATAATGTCAGGTATAGTAATTATCTGGGTTAGATGCTTGACTTTATAATGATCTTTTATGCTGAAAGACAGTTAATTGTCAATTTCAGCTTCAATGCATCCAATTAACAAAAAGAACTTTAGTTGTTTCAGAAAATGTTAAGGGGGGGGAAAAAGCAAGCCCCCATCCTAAACAGCATATGTAGTGTAACATTTGTATAGAAAAATGCAGATATCATTTCTTTAGAAAACATTACAATCACAATAAATTATTATAAAATACTCTGGGGCAAAATATTGTCAGAACAAGCTCTTTACCAGTTATGTTAAAATTCCATATTCCAGAACCCAGGAGTTAGATAAAATCTTTACTAAATAATGTGTATGCCAATAACTGAACCTGTTGGACTTGTGTAGAGCCTTCTGCTGAAGTACCTGTGAGGGCATGTGCTCAGAGAATGGCTTCAGTAGATGAAAACTTGCTTATAAGAGCATGTTGAGCTTCATTTTAGAATTGAAAATATTTTTTCCAATCAATGCATTTTTAAGTTATCGCTTTTATTCTACAATAAGTGCCAAAAAGGAGATTCTGGTTCTGTTTGTACTTGTCATGATTTCTTGACACTTCTCGCAACTTCTGAAAGATGACTGAAGTTTACCAGATTTTAAATGCAATGTTTTCCATGGCTAGATTTCAAAAATAGCCTGTAAAAAAAACTTCTGGTTATAAAGTTTGTCCAGGAAGTGGGAGACAAAGATCTTGGCCTCCAGAGACTGGAGGAATTCAAACATACATTTCCGTATTCACAAGCATATCCTGACTATCAGACTATAAATTAATGTGGGAGGGGACCCCTATGAACATCCAGTTTTGGGGGAAAGCAAAATTATTTTCTCTGCTCTTGTTTATGGATCTTACATAACATGATGATTGGATAGAAACAGGTAAATGAAGAAATTGGGAACCAAAACTGTGTGCCTTCAAGAGCAATACGTAGGGCAAATATTCTCTCTACTTGTACTTTCTCTGCTACAACAAAAATTGGTTTCATGGCTATGCAATGGCTAAGCTCCAATAGCAATTATAGAAGATGTCCTTTTCCAGCCTGGACTAGAGGCTGGTGCCTTGGAATGCTCCTGGAAATTGGGAGATGTGGCATGAATTCCTTTAGGCTGAAGGGTGGCTGAATATGGGTTTTTACATATGTTTGAGCCTCCCCTTATTTATTTTTCCTTGCTTAGGTAGGTACTGCCTTTGGGAAAAACACTGAACTGAATCAAGCTTAGTCATCTTGCCAGAGTCAGATACCTACTTTCTAAGCCAAAATTGCCCATCTGAAATAGGTAATCTCAATCTGCACCTTATTAAATTGATGGCCACATTATATAAATCTGTTACAGTTGAGAGAACAGTGAAAGGAATCTGTTTTCTCTTAGGAAGACATGACACATGCATAGGACATAGTTTGCTTATTTTAATTCTTTGAAGTGATCTGGCAAATGTAAATCTTTGCAGTTCTAGGAGACTGAATAGAAAAATTATTGTGATGGAATCTGACAATTTGTGTTTTGATTTTTTTTTTTGTCTCTTTTGATATATATGGATTTGTTTTAGCTGAGTGCTAATTTGTATACAAATTTCTTCTCACATAGCAACTGTATTAGTCATCACAAAAAAAGCAGCAAAAAGAGTACATGATATGCCCTGGAGTTCAACATCCATTGTTATAGTTGTTTTATTTTTATATTTTATGATTGCTTTACTGAATGTCTCTTTCAAACAAGTGACTTTGAAAATGAGAATTATCTCTGCGTCTTTGAACAGATACCAAAGAGGATGATAGAATTGCAGAAAAGTGAGGGACAGATGCTTTCATCTGAAACAGACACAGATTCAGAAACTAATTTGGAAGTGATAAAAATTAATTTGCACACTTTAATTGGAATCAGACTCCTGCATGAAAGAAAGGAAGGGTAGGCAGCTTGTGTTAAAAGCTGATTGAATTTTTTGTCAGGTAAGTATGTTGGACTTGGCCGCTTATCCTCTTGAGCCTCTCTGTGCAATATATTACATTTACCCTCTGACTGGTGTTCTTTAAAAGGATCAATGCTATTCCTGCTTTGTCCCTAGAGTCTGAAACTTTATTGATCTTGGGACTTGACATTTCTCATTACCTATTGTAGCTTCCAGGAGGATGGCCACAAGAGGTGTAAGAGTTAACCCTGCTTTTTCTAATGAGAACTGTGCTGACCATTGGAAAGTATTCTGTCTATCATCTCTAAGCTGGGTTTGTTTAATGTTATAACATAATCCTCAGAGGTGCTAACAATTTATCCTATCTCAGTAAGTGTGTTCTGTACATACCTGAAAGGCAGAGTAAGTGTTACCATAAAGGATCTGAGTCAAGCCAACCTGCACTTCTTTTTAAGTCTGTCATGAAGTGTACCTTTATGTGTTCCTTTTACAGAACATAATTTTGAGACAGTTTTAAACTGTGAACATTGCAGGTTTTGTGAGTTTGTACCTTGAAAGAGTG